TTAAATAAACCGTGGACTGTACATTTGAACAATTTTTAAGCAAGTATTACGCTATCCGAAGTGGACTAATAGTCGATGCCTAGTATTTTTAACAATCCAATAAATTATTAAAAATTGGAAGAATTTTGTGATGCTGATTGGGCTAATTCACCAGACCATAAGAATATAACAGGCTATTGCTTTAAGCTAGCGGATGGTAACCCAATAATCAGCAGGAATTAAGAAACAGCGAAAGATTTCACTTTTTACTTGTGAAGCTGGATGTATTGCATTGTGAAAAAGAACACAAGAGGTTATTTTTCTTAAATTACTAATGAAAAACAATTACAATACTGGCAATAACTGAGCCAATTATTATTTACTCGGTGATCAGAGCAGTATTGCTTTGTCTAGAAATTCAACATTAAAGATCAAAGCATATCGATATAAAATATCAGTTTGTTAAGGGACCAAGTACAGAAGAAACAGTACAAATTGAATGTGTTTAATCGGGAAATAATATGGCGGATTTATTTGTAAAAAAAAACGATTATGAAATGGAAACTACAGGCTTTTTGCTTCTGCAATGTTTGGCGCTGACTTCTTAGACCCTTATAATGGTCCTGGGCAAGACGTAAAACTGCATCCACTAAGGTCCTTATTAGGTCCTGGGCAAGACGTAAAACTGCATCCACTAAGGCCCCTGTATTTTAGGTCCTGGGTAGGACGTAAAACTGCATCCGTTAGTTACTGTCCTAAGAAGCGTCAGTTCAGTTTTTGGTATGAACATAAGTCCTTGGTTTCGGGGTATAAAGGTAAATGGTCCTACCTTGAGCCCAATCCTCTTCTAAATGATTCCCTGGATCACTCTGACCCGGAGTGATAGTAACTGTTTTAATGGGTCCCAACTATGGGTAAAGTAACAATTCTTTCCACTTTTTGCCGTGATCGCAATCTAAACTTATAATATTGTTGTTCATGTTCTATTAACCCGAAGTATTTAATTGTGAACAAAGTGATATGACTAATTTTTGTGAATATTAATTTTCAAGAAAATATAAAAAAAAATATAAAAATAAAATTTGGAATACTAAAGTATTTGTTACATATTAATATTACCCTTTTTTAAAAAAAAAGAAAAGAAAAAAAAATATTATTTTTGGAATTAAAGTATTTATTAACTTTACTAATATTTTGGAACGAAGATTCCATTATATACCGAAAATAAGGGGGGCTGTTACGGTTTTTTGGGTATATATTATCGATAACTAGTGAGTGAGTCAGAATGACTTATTTCCCTTTATAGTTGACCAATGGAAGGTTGACCAATCAGAAGCCGCCCAACACTGTATTCGTCGGGTATAAAGGCGGCCATCTTGTTTCGTCTACCAGAAGGACCAAAGGCGACCAGGAGAAGGATGAACTACACTCTGCTGTGATATCCACTGCGAACCTAAAGTACGCTTTCCTACTGTCTCCGAAATATTCACTGCCAACCTCTAGATTCAATACTCAAGGACGACCGTCATGGAAATGTCTAACACCGAGTCTGCTCAACATTCCTGCATAGCTGTCAGCTGACTTGAGCAAATCTTGTGTGCAACTTTCAAGCTTGTGTTCCCAGCACCTCCAAATGTGGCCAGTCTGTGATAATGCACTGTTGTTTCATATTGTCAGTGGAAATTTCCTTATTAACCAAGAAACCTCTCTCCACTGAGGCCAGACCAGCAATCTGTGAACAACTTTCCACAGTTTTTTAATATTCTTTGTTGCTAGACAAAGAAAGTACAACAGTGTCCAGATGCTTTTCATGTTTGCTGAAATTCTTGAGAGCAATATTTCCAGTAGCCTCCTACTTGAATTCTTTGTACTGACTGATGATGTCATAACAATCAGACTTGTTGGCTTGTTTTCCATCCATCATGTGGGAAAGACATCTTTTTAGATTGTCTTCTGTGGCAGGTTTTTTTCACAAACGGATCCAGGGTTCAGTTATGCAAGTGACCTTACAAGAGGGTATCTAAGAGGAGACTTTGCCAGAAGTTTCTCAATGATAGTGATGAGCATTGTTGCAACAGATCTTTTGTTGACACATTTCCTTTTTTGGACAGATTTTGCATAGCCCTATCTACCAGAAATCGACACTCAATCTTTGCAGCATCTTTATGCATGTTTAGGTTTGACAAATTCATTCAATTTGGAAAATGTAATTATCTTTTTAGTAGGTACCTCCACTAATTTTCTCTACCTAAGGTTTAAAATCAATTTTTATAAATGAAAAAGTTTTCATTGAAAAATAAAGGATTCAATTTACTATTCCCATTAAGCAAAATACTCTGGTATATTTCAAACACAAATTATATTGATTGAAATAGATTTTTTTTTCTAAAATAGCTGATTAGGGATAGGATTTTAGTTGTCTTTCATCATAATGTAATTCCCTGTATCTTTCAAAAATAAAATATAATTTTCTGAAACTGAGGAAAATTAGCTGATAATAGTTAATCTGATTTGAAAAAACATATTTAAATAAGTTTAAAATAACACAGAAATGTATTTTTAAAACAGTAACTGTGTTTTTAACTGAAATTGCCATGTTTTATGTAACTGACAAGGCAATGATAGGTCATGACATAATGATTGTTGTTCTACAATGACTATCTGTAAAACATAATTTAAGAAAATGATGTGTGAGCACCTTTTTCTTTATATAATTTTTAATTAATCTTAAAAATGTTGCAAAATATTCTCTGTAATTTAATTTTAGGAATACTGACTTTAAATTTATTATAGTCATCACTCTTATTTTAAAAATCTTGGTGCAAAATGATTTTTATTAAGCTTTTCAATTTTGGTTAGTAAATGTAGTTTTCACTTAATAATATCAACTAACTGGATGAAAGTAATGCAGAATTAAGATTTATATTAGAATTAAAATTTTACGAAAATGAAATTATTGTAATAAAAAAAAAGACAATATCATCCTTCATAAATCTTATATATAAAAGCAATTAAAAGCTTTTCTAATTAAATAATTAGTTTTATTGCATTTTTTATTTTATGATTTGGAGCAGATTCTCAGGAAATAAGTAGTAGTTTGAAAAAAAAAAATAAAATTTTTTTAGCCAAAATTTCAAATGTGCTAGAAAGCTTAAAAAAAACTAATAAAAAAAAAACAAAACTTTTTTCCTCTCTTAATAACAAACATTTTTACGATAAAACAGTTTTAATTAAGTTTGGGGCCTTTTTCCCTCATGTGTGGAGATACCTACTTTTTAGTATGCTCTTCCTTTATAAAACTTAAGTTTCATGATAATGCTAAAAAGATCATCTGCAAGGAAAAGAAGCAACGATTTATTGTGCTGATATTTTGTCAGAAATGGTTTAATGCATTGTCTTTCAAAACAGACACAAAATCTAGTTTTATTGTAAATAAAACGTCATTCACGTTTGACAGCACCGCAGAGGAGGACATGGTCTGGGGACATTTTTCCATTAAATTTAGATTTGATGAAATCAGGCCAAATATCTTGGAGTCATTGACATGTTTGTACAATTTCTAGCCATTTATGGCTACAAAAATATTTGGGAAACTCCTTGGCTTGCCTTTCCTCAAACACGCAATCACCTTCCCCCCATCTTTACCAAAAATGGAAATACTGTGGGATAAAGTAAGGTTTATATATGCTCCGCACACATGGCAGAAAATAAAGAGACAGGATTGTCAGATTTAAATTTTAATTATAAAGCCATGCAATATAAAAGCCAAATAAGTTTTAACATATTTCATCATATTTTTTCAAGTCATTATTAACCTACAAACGTTAAAAATAACATTTTTTCAAAGACACATTTTCTATCCCAAGATACATCAAAGGCACATTTTCTATTCTATCATCCTTCCTCCCACCTTACATTTTCTTTGAGACAAATTTGATTTCAAACTTGTTACTTTTGGCAACAATTTAGACAAATGTTGTCTACACATAGATACACATTGACACAAGATGCATAAAGTATTTCTTTTTTTCAGTATAAACTCACCCACTGCTGAAAAGGACATTTACTTTTGAAATTGACATGTGAATTAAATTCTTCAATGGTTCAAATTTTAAAATACACTGATAAATTTTGAGATTCTACTAAAATGTATTTTATTACTGTAAAATAATTTATTAGTTTCCTTTCAACTACAAATTCAATGAGTGTGAATTCAATTATTTTTGGTGGAGATGTTTACTTGTCTCTTATCTTTGTCTCCTCTTGTTGAGTGAGAGCAGCAGCCAGAAGACACCTTTATATTCTTTCTCGTCACCTAGACAAGAAAATACAGAAGTAACTACAATGTCATGAACTCATTCTAATCAAGGAAATGAGTTATTGTTTGCAATAATTGCCAAATATTATTTTTTTTATGTGCTGTGTCCTTTCTCCTTACGCCCCTTTCTATTTTTGTATATCTGCTGAACTCATTCTCTATGCGCATGCATGCCGTTTGTTGCCAGTATAGGTTCTTGATTATTCTAATATCTTTTCCAAATGTCTCAAGGAGCAGTTCCAACAGATCCTTGTGGCATGCATTGATTGACAACTAAATAACATTTTTCTTAAAGGACAATTTGAGCTTGTAAAACAAGCTAAATTTATGGGATTTAGCATTTTGACTTTCATGAATTGAAAACTCAATTTAGAAAATTTTAGAACTTTTCAAAGAGCTTTTGGGCTATTGCTGTTCTGCCAGAACTTTTCAGACCCCAGAAAAAGCCCTGTCAATTTTCCAGGACTTTTCAAGGTTTCCAGAATCTGTATGAACCCTGTAAAAAGTAATAAGGTTAACAGTTTGCATCAAACTAGAACAATCCTAAATATTTATCAAAATGTTTTGTTTAAAAAAAAAAAAATCTCTAAACTTACTGGTTCCATTTCCACATAAAATCTTTTAGAAGACTTTGCTATTTAACTATTTTTCTATTGTACACATGATCATCTTGGTATGTATGAAAGAATAAATTCCTACTCACAGATTTGGGTGTGGCTCCAATTTGGTGGAGATCATGCATAGATTTTGCCACAGGAAGTTTTCCCACAGGTCTACGAGGAGCAGGAGCAGGTTTTGGAGCAGTAGCTGGAGCAGTAAATGTCCTTAATTTCATTGGGTGCCGTGGTGTAGTTGAAGGTGTGCTATTGGTGTTTGATGTGGAAGTGTCTGAGCTGTGCTCATTCACAATACTTTTTAATAAATTCAATTTACGGATTTTCTCTTGATAACGGGCACCAAACTGACGTTCCATCTTTTGTTTTTCATATTCCTTCGATAATATTAAGGAAAGAAAATTAAATATGGTCAATCAAAATTAAAAAAAAAAAAAAAGAAAAAAGAAAGATGAATGGACAGAGGAAGTTATAAAAATAAAAAGATAATTAAAACATGAAAATTAATAGATTAAAAATATATATATATATATATATATATATATAGCTAAAATAGCTATACAAAAAAATTTCAATTTGAAACAAGCAATACATATTTTCAGTGGTAGCTTTCGTACAGGCAATGTAGAACTGCAGCACCCACCACTATTTTTACTTGATACTATTGATGACATTCAATATGAGTTTTTTTTTCTTTAATTTTTCTTTATACTTGTACATTATATAATCCTTAAGCTTAATGTCAGTAGACATCCTCTCAATCTTGAAAAATTACAAAAATCCAGTTTCAGTAATGCAGTGTTTGGCAAGAAAAAAATGGAATACTGGTGAGAGAGAGCACTCTCTCTCACACAGTACCTGTTGTCCAAATGTAAGATAGTGTTTATTTTTGACACTGCATGTGCTATGCTTAAAAACCATGTACCATATTCTTGAATGTGATAAACTGTAGATGATTATCATGCTTCCAGTTATTATATTTAATGCATTTTTTGGTTGTTTTATTGTATAGAAAATTTTAATTGAATCCCCAAGAAATAAGTTCTGGGACAGTTAAGTGAACTTCAATAGCTTAAGTTTGTAGTTGTCTCTTCATGAGAAAGTTACAGTTAAGAAAAGAAGCTGTTTAACACCTGATATTCAAATATCTCAGCCAGGAATAAGCAATAACAAGAGATATATTCGTAGCTTTAACTCTGAATGGTACCAATGTAAAAGTTGGCTCTATGGGTGTAAAGTAAAAAATGCATTCTTTTGTTTCCTGTGTTTGCTGTTTGAAGGTGATGTAATGTGGATAAAAGACACTTTTAGAAAAATAAACAAAATGAAAGAAAAAAAACTGAAAAACATGAGAAGTCAAAGCATATTGAAAATGTGGTTTTACAGTCATTTTTAGGAAATGTAAATACAGAGGAGAATTTTAGTGAGGCATACAATCAAAGTTAAAAAGAACTGAGATTTTTTTTTAAATTTCAGACTGTATTTTATTTTGAAGAAACTTTGAAACTCCTTTATATGGACATGATGAAAAAATGATTTAGTAAATCCAGGGATATTTAGAGGATTAATAAATTTTGCATCTAAATTAGATCCAGATTTGAAGAATTACTTTGAAACCAGTACAGTTTTCAAAGGTGTTTCTAAGACCATTCAGAATGAGCTACCCATCTGCTGGCTACAAATATACCATGAGGAGATAAGAACAGAAATTAGGGAATCTTTGCTTGTAGCCATCATGGCTGATGTCACAATAGATTTTTTGGGAAACACTGAAATGGTCATTTTTCTACAGTACATGTTGAATGAAAGAAATATTTGAACTTTTCTGAGGATTCTTTATTCAAGAAAATCAAACTGCAGATAGCACATCAAAACATATTCTAGAACAATTAGACATAATCCTTCAAGGAAACAGGCAAAAACTGATAGCTCAAACATTTGATGGTGCAAATATTATGAAAAGCAAAAAGGAGTTCAAGCAAAAATAAAGCAGTTTATAGTCATACATGTTTCCTTCGTCATTATGCACATCAACTTAATTTAATGAGAAATGCAGAAAGTATTATACTTAATGCAAGAATATTTTTCTCTAATACCATTCTTCTCAAGATCACCGCAACATTGATGTTCATATGCTTCTTGAGAATATATATACATATATTCTCAAGAAGCATATGAACGTCAACTTTCCACGCCCATCCTCTACAAGGTAGAACTTTAACATATGGACTGTAGATAGAGTACAGGAATATTTGCAACCTTTAAAAAGCTGCCTTACTGAAATTCAGTCAACATCAAATGCAGATCAAGCCATTGTAGAAGCAACAGAATTTTACAATAGCTGAATGATGATAATTTCATGTTTTAGTTAGAGCTTTTTCATCAGATTAGACCTCATGTTGAAGTAATTTACAACCAAATGCAATCTCAAGAAATTAAGATACTCAAAGTACTGTGAGAATCCTTCAAAGACACTCATGGTAAAACCAAAGGAAGTGTGTAATTGCACATGTGTTCATATAATGGACAAATATTCTTCTACTAAACACTTAGTTGCTGCTAAATTGTTCAACAAGAAAAACTTCACTAGTTTTAAGAATGAACTGCCTACAGAAAAGATAGTACTGACTACTGAAGCATATCCCATGATTGACAAAGAAAAGCTTGAAACTGATTGATTGGTTTGGTTTATTTAGTTTAACTGCATATCAACCTCAAATAGTTATTTAATGCCGACAAGATTTTTGGGATAGGTTCATGTAAATTGAATATGTATTCTTTATAAGGAATAATTTTGTAGATCAGGTTTCATTAACAAATTTTTAAAGGAGGATTTTGTTGAGAGTCAAATGTATTGCTGGTAATAATTTTTCCTTCAAAAATTGGTTACAAAACAATGTAGGTAGGCAGATTTGGTAAACAGTTTTTTTTATATTTTCCTGGAGAGCCTAATTTCTTTAATGAAATTTATGATGTTATTTGGATTGATATTTTCAAATAGATCCTTTAAGTTATCCAATTTGTAGAGTTTGTTTCAGGTTTGCTGGAAGTTACAGTAATTTAGTAGAATGTGTTTAATGGTATATAATTCCTGGCATGGGACACACTTTGGCAGTTCCTCATTTTTTTTTAGATGTTGGTGGGTTATGTATGCATGTTCTATACAGAGTCTGGCTAGAACCACCATCACTGATGATTGGTTGGATGTTGAGAAATTTATTGTTTACACAGTTGTTCCATAATTGCTGCAATTTTCTTTAATAGTACTGTTTATGGTGGGTTGGGAAGTCAGTGTGTGGCACCTTTACATTTGAGAGATCCATGTTCAGTGATTCCTTTGCCATTTTGTCAGCTTTTCCATTTCCTTGTATGCTAATATGGCTCGGTATTCAGCATAGGAGTAATACAGCATCTTTTTCCTTATAAAGTCAATCTTATTTAATAATTTATTTATCAAAAGATTTTCCAGGTTTTTATTCTTTAGAGCTATGTATAGTGAATCTGAGAAGATGATGAATCTATCTGACCCACTGGATTCTATAATATCTAAAGCTAAGTGTATGGCTGAAGCTTCTGCACTGAAGATTGAGGCTTTGTCAGGAAATCTTTTCTACATTGTTATGTTGTTAAGGATAGCAGAGCATCCAACTTTGTCCAAGATTTTAGAGCCATCAGTGTATATATGGTTATAATTTGGGTGAGCTTGTAGAACATTATGGATTTCTTCCATGTAATTGGATAAAGAATTAATTTTAACTCATTTAGTAAGATTTAACAGAATCGTAGGGTATTTCATTAACCAGGGTGGGTTTTTTGAGTTGGTGGTTTAAGAATTAGGGTTGAATTTATTTGTGTTTCACTGATGAGATTTTTCATGTAAAGGTGTCAGATGTCCAGAAATTGCTGTCGCTTTCTGTCTGCAATACGTCTAGTCTCGCCAAAGCCTAGAAGAGCAGTTGCCTCCCACATCCACTCGCCGGGTTTTTAATCGGTAGCGTGGTCCTCTTATGCAAATAAGTCTGCTGCATAAAAATGGCAGTAGGCACACACGTGACCAACTCTCAGAGAATGGTTCGACACGCGAGGCAGCAAATTCGCTTTGCTCCTGGTAAGTCACTGTCACTTCTATTACAAAAGGCCAAAAAGTTTGATAGCATTTCTTTTTTATCAAATAGATTTTTCTATTTAGGATTGAAGGTACAGTGGTAGGCAGGGTTAGTTGTGCTGAATTTGAGTTTTAGATAATATTGTAATGCCAGTTTTTCTCATCTCAATTTTAATGGTGCCTCTTAGAGCTCTATATAATTTTAGTAGTGATATGTGATCTGCTCCCCAGTCAGTGTTTGCCACAACCCGTAGTAAGTGTAATGCTTTGAAGTATTTCTGTTTTATGTATTTTAAAGTGGGGGATGAAAAGTAAGTTTTTTATCAAAAAAGATTTGCAGAAATTTATGCTGTTCAGTCATTTCAATTTCTGTTCCTTCAAATTAAAAAGTTGGGTCATTGTGCATTTTTTTCAGATTGCAGAAATGTATACACTTTGTTTGGGTTGAATTTGAAACCATTTTTGATAGTCCATTGGTTTAATTTATTTAAACATAGTTGCCATTGTTGTTTTGCCATGTGTATATTTTTTGATCTGTAACAGATCAAAGGTTGTCTATGTATAATAACCATTGACACCTTGATTCAAGCAATTAACAATGTGGTTAATTTTATATTAAAAAGAATGACGGATAAGATGCAGAACTCCTTCTTGGACTTTTGAGTCTGTGAGTGATGATCCTACCTGAACTTGAAGGCTTCTGACAAAAAGTTATTTATCAAATTGGGTAATCTGCCCTTTCAATTCCATGTTTCATAAGTAGTTTATAGGCCTCAAAAGAAAATAGCTATTGCCTGTTCTTTTTTTTAATAAAAATTTCACTAATGTAAGTTTCTAGGCAGACTATGTTGTCTATGGTGCCTCTTTTATTTCAGAATTCACTCTGGAGATTGGTAATTAAACCATTAGTTTCAAGGTCAATCAATTTGGTTCTAGGGTTTTCCATAAGCCATATCTTAATGTTTTTTTTGGGGTCTGATTTGTCTTTATCTGGTTTTTGGTATAGAGATTACAATTCTTAAACAATTCTCCATAAACCATATCTGTTAAAATATCTTTAACATATATTTTATGGATATTTTAGAGGGGTGGTGGCTGTTTAAGAAATTCATAATGAATTTCATCTGGGCCAGTAGCTCTACTATGTGATTCGCTTATGGTATAAGTTCATTTAGAGTAAAAGGATGGTTGCAATCTTTGTTGTTCAAATTAAAGTTCAGCTTTTTTTTTCTGCATCATGACTAACTTTTTGGAATTACTGTCTTTAGTTTT